CTCTGTGCTCCCTTCCCGGGGGGCGTGTTCAGAGATGGAGTCAGTAAGACTTGCTGATGGATTTGGAGATAGGGAATAAGAGACTGATAGAAATCTAAGGTGTTTCCTAGGTTAGGGGCTATACTTACGGCAGGGCCAACTGAGGGCCCAGGCAAGGGAAGGCAAAGATGCGTAAGTACTAACGTGAGCATGTGAAGGTTGAGATGCCTAAGAGATATCTAGGTGGAGGTGCATAAAAAGCAGTTGGGTGTAAGATTTTGCAGTTTAAAGTAGTTTAAGAGAAAGGTCACGTCTAGAGATAGAGACCTGCGAGGCCCTACTGGATGACAGGTACTTAAAGCGCTGAGATGGATGAGCTCACCAGAGAATGCTCTTTAGGTTTACCAGACTTGCCTGGTCAGCATAATCACCTGGAGTACTCATGAATGGCACGGAAACCCAGGTCCCATTCTGATCTCGTGTTCAAAATTTTATGATGTATGTAATTTTTTTGGATAAATTCTATCTTTGACCAATATTTATTACATTTCAAGCACTGTGCTTGGTTGTGATGGATGAAGTTATAGCAGCATTCTGTGGTCACAAAGAAAGGCCAAGAGAACCACTGAGATTTTGGCAGATTTCATTGAACCAATGGACATGCATTCAAACTTGTCATTATGAGGGAAAATAACGCCTTACTTATTTAGACTACTACAGCTGGTTGGTTTTTTTTTTATTTGTTTGTTGCTTTTCCCCCAAAGCATTCTAACCTGATACGTGTGTTTTATTACTGTATTTATAAATGCAGTAAATTTAAATAAAATAAAACTAATCACTTTTGGGGAAAAGGACTGATTAATGTTTAATTAACTCAAGTTGAATAAGCTAAACTCTTTTAAACCATCAGTCTCATTTATAAGCATTACTTATTAAAATCTTTTAAATATTTTAAAGTGCTGTACAGACTTAATCACAGTTGATTTTCTGTTTTAGCACTTCAAGTAATTGAGCTGGCATGCTTACTACCAATTAAGCTAAAATTTTCTCATATATTTCAATATCTCCATTAAATCTAATAAATTAAACTTATAAATATAATGAATCTATCCTAATACTATTAATGAGCTATGTCTAATTTTCCTACACTTTTCAACTTAAAATCAAAAGCCTAAAATCAATTTTATACTTTAAATTGGAATTTTAAGTTCTTTAAAACACTTGAATCACTTAAATAAGAAACATACACAAGATTATTTCTAAGCTTAATATGAAAGTACCAATATTCTGGGTTTGATTTATTTCATCATCTCCTTATTCAATTCTAAACATTCCTAGACTTGGAAAGTCACTTACTCAACAAGGGAACAGATTTTCTACCTCAAGGAAGTCAATGTTACCAGGTCAGAAACTCACAGTGACAATATGGTGGACACTTTGGTTAAGCTGAGGTTGGGTAGGAGAAGTCAGAAGGGAAGTGAGCATCATGACCTTTTCTGTGGCATTGTCACAATAAGGGACACACTTCAGAGGACTTTGATTTTAGAACCTTCATTCCAGTTACCTCTTTATTTTTAATTATTAGAATAGAAGGAAGTCAACAACTCGACCTCCACCCAAGTTAGCTAACTTCCTTTATTACTTCATTAGCTTCTGTGCTTACTTGGCCCTCTGCAGACATTGCTAGCATATTTCCATGTTGTTCTTAAGGAATTTTAAGGCTGTCGAGTTTAATCCTGAACAACTGGCTCTACGCCAGGACTCTAAAGTCATGATAATAACACAAACCATTCCCCTTCCTTGTGACTTTTTAAGAATTTCCAAATGGGATTATAGCATCTCACATTTCATCAGGACTACTGTATTTAACTCTGTGAGACTTCTGCTCCAGGTGCTTTTCTCCCTTGAGCTCTGCCTGCCCCTGGACATCCTGTAAGGCAGCTGAGGTCACCCGAAGTGGGCACTGATCTGGTCTCAACCTCAGATGCAGTAGCCCATTCCCTACCCTCCAGCGTGGGGAGTCACCTTACCACCCCACCTCCCGTTCTCTCTGTTCACCTCTAAGAGGGAGATAAATGCCTCCTTTTTGAATGCCCAGCCTTTTTGTGTGGGGGAGAGGGGGCGCCACAGCAGCAGAGCTGGAGCAACATTTGTTTTAGATTTTTCATCGTTTGTAGATATGTGTGGATCGAAACATTGCAATTGCTCTGATTCCAAGTTATAGCAGAGTACTCTGCTGATACCTAGTTAATAAGTTGTATTTCTCAAGCCTTTCAGGCAAGATATTCATTGATAACTATGTTTTTCTTTAATTTATAGATATAAATTAAACTATGTTTTTCTCAAGCCTTTCAGGCAAGATATTCATTGATAACTATGTTTTTCTTTAATTTATAGATATTCCTTAAAGATGTTTACAATTTTTTTTAAAAATGTGTCAGTTTAAATAGTCTTTGAAAACCTAATATTTAGAGATGTCCATTGGTGGGTCATCTTTCTAAGGTGAATAATCATCCTTAATTTGTTTATATGGTTTAAAATGGAGTGTTACTTTGTTGAGGTTTGAACATATGCAATAAACATTTTTCCCCAATTTTACTCATCAGAGAAGTCTCTCTTTCTTTCATAGGGATGAGTAAATAAGAAGAGAAAATGGGGACTTACCCTCAGTAGAAGTTTTCATTTTGTGGGCAAAAACAGGATCATTTAGAAAGAAGGGAATTATAATGACATGTAATATTATTTATAAATGATGTGCTATACCTCCTTACACCAGTAGTATGTAGAATATACACACACACATATACACATACAAATATACATGTACACACACATATATATACACACAAACATACATATATATAATGTATGTATGTATGTATGTATTTCGTGTAATCCCAAATTGATAGCATATTCAAAAGCTATATCAAATATCAACCAACCTTAATGTTAACCTTTCAGAGGAGAATCTTCATGACTTTTACCACCTTATTCCAATTTTACCAATTTCTTCAACCTTCCTTCCTCTCCCCTCTTTTTTCGTTATTTCCAATTTATTTCTCAAGTTCAAAGTTATTTGTTCTTGAGAAAGAGACTTCTAATGCCTACCCACATCTGGGCATCCTCTCCTTCCAAGCACAGAAGGATGACGTTTCCCCTCCCTCTGAGAAATTTGAATCCAAGTCTGTCTATGCTGTGCTCTCTAGACTGAGTCAGTATTAATTCCATCCCCCAAAGAGAAAGCTGGCTGTATCATGTCCCAAATCTGTGCCTTTGCACCTTTGTTCAGCATCCATGAGAAACTGAAGCTGTGTTTCCAGATGTGGTGGCTAGGCCTTTGTAATCTTTTGCTTTAGGCACGCTAACTCATGTGCAGTCTAGACTTTCTCTTTCCTCTCAAGTGGCTCTGTATTTGAATGACTGTACTGGGACCTCCACCACTGGCCAGTTCCCTCTCCACCCCACATCCCAAGAGGCAAAGTTCTCAGGCACCCTCAGCAGGGTGGACTAAAACTAGCAAAAAAAGCTCTTTGCACTCAAATAGTCTCTAAACATAAGAAATAGAAGAAAGTTTATAACTTCAACTCTTTGCACTGTGATGCCAAAGTATGTTTATTATTCTGATATTTGGAACTGAGAGTATCTTTTTCCCGTTAAAAACAATATGAAGTACAGTGATTATGTTCCCATGCCAGCCCACATAAGTCTAAGAAAGCCATGTGTAATTAAAGCAGCACTCACTTACAATAGAGAGTACAGGACAAATACTTATCACAGTACTAATGAATTAACCTCTCTCCAGGACCTGCCCCTCCCCCCCAGATAATAAACAACTAATAAATTTTTTTACAAAAAGAATAGAAATAAAATGTAAGAAAGTCTGTATTTATTAAAATGCGTAGACTTGGGAAAAAACATGTTTAGAGAAAAATTAAGATACAGGTAGAAGACTTTGGAGATTCTAAAAGAGACTTCTGGGTACTTCAAAGGACTTTGAAGGTTGAGAACACAGCTTCTTGTAATATCTAATTATATTTTGAGGGGAAAAAAGCTCCTCCTTTTTTCTGATACAGATTTGTCACCCGCTCTGACTCTTATCAATGATACTAAGAGCTTTTCTTGCATTGGAATGAAATGGAATGAAAGGAGGCAGGAGAGATTTTCCGAAAAGAACTGAGTGAAAAAGAAAAGAAAAAAATGAGAGAAAAAGCCAGTGGAAAGGAATAAAGAGATGAGTAGAGTTGCTTGGTGAACGTTTATTCAAGCTTCAAGCTATGAGTGTGCCTGTATGTACAGCCCCTTTGGAAGGGAAGACAGAAGGTGGCAGTTAAAAGACTAGGTCTGGCATTCCCAACCTAGCACCTGTGACCCCATCGGCTCTGAACAGCTCGACTGCCGTCTGGAGCGAAGGCATAAGCGTGTTTCGTGGGGTAGAGTAGAAAAGAAGGGAGACGTGGTTAGAGTTGCGGGGGAAAACAGTTCTCTTTAAGAAAAAGAAAACATGATGCAGTGTCTACCGATTGCAGCGGTGTAAATATCCCACCATGAGCAATTTGATAACTGGCTCACAATATTCTTAAATATTTAACAATCAGCCTCCATGAACTGACGTGAACTGGCTCCAGCTAACCATGTACATGTTCCAATGGCTACCGGTCTAACCCATCTACTCAAGTGTGCACTGCTCTGTTCTGTGAATGTGATGTTTTAATTATTTCGATGTTAACTTACTCAAATCCGGCAGAATATCCATAAAGTTCTTAGTCAAATTCTAATGTATTTCCAAAGTGGACGAGCACGTACCTGTTGATCTCTTACTTTACATAGTCACCTCATCGCACTTGTCTACTAGAAGCAAGGATTTCAAACTCGAAGTGCTGGAGAGTGTGGAAAGGTTTCCTGACCCACGGAGTGGCCATTCCTGTGGAGTGGATGCTGGAAAGTCCTTGAAGCAGTGTCTCATAGACCCAGCAAGGACAGGAGAGGGGAGCCGGGCCATCACCTCCCTGCTGGTCTCCTGCCTACACAGTCACCATGATCTGATCCAGAGGTTTCCGTTTTAGGTCAGGCACCGTGGCCTGTTTGCTGGGGTACCCCACGGGGAGCAGCATCAGCAGCTTTTCATTTGTGGGGCGGCTCAGGAACATTCTCAGACGGGGGCCGCAGTTGAGAGGAGTGGTAGTGACAGTCACCAGTCCTGCATTCTAAAACAGGAGAGGAAAAGAATACTTTTTAAAGTCAGCAGGCAAAGTCACAGCTCTGTTCCAAGCCTGGGGACAGTCTAGTGTCTATTAAACCAGCTTCTTCCTTCGTTTCCCTGAAGTTGGGCAGCAGAGTGGCTGCCAGCTCGGGCACAAGTGTCTTGAGTCTTACTTGCTCTCCTCAGCCTTCTCAGACACCACTTTCTTTTAATCAAACAATGGGAAGCATCTCAAAGAAAAGTACCAGTCCCCTACTTCATTATTGCTTAAGAAAGAGGAATTGTCGTTTCATGGAAAGAAATTTGGGGAATCTAACTACACCACTGGAATGACAATAAACAACAAGCAATTCCTATGATTTTATATCCAGCCATGCGGGCAGAGCATCATCTCAGTTGAAAGTGCCTATGTCCAGTGATAGAGGACCCAGTGGCCAGGGGGTATGTTGAAGGTAAAAGAAATATTCCATTAACCTCTCTCCAAGCCCCTCCAGATAATGAACATCACATGTACCTTCAGGACGCTTCCCCTGCGGGCCCTCTCCATCCCCCGCTGCTTTTCCATTCAGATCATCACCCCCAAGCCTGAGCAGAAAGAAGTTCAAGAACTGCCTTTGAGAGTCCCGCGTGACTCAAGTCACTACGCAATCTGTCCAGATGGAAACTTCAGGAAGATTTCTCTTTCCTCCCTCACAAACCATGACCTACACTCAGAATTATGCCTTACAGAAAGCTAGAGGGCAGCAAACTCAACACTATGGTGAAAAAACAGGTCTCTGGTTTGAAGGCACAGAAGCCACTGTGAATTGAGCTCTTTCCAGGACTAACACACTTCTCCTGGGACCCAACCAAGATGGATGGAAGTGCCCTGTGGTCTGAGGTGGCACAGTGGTGGTGTTATTTATCATATACAGAATTAGGGGGAAAAAAAAGTAAGATGCCAGCTCTTTTAGGACAAGTTTTCAAATAATCTATTCCTCTTTCGTGTAATATTTTGCAAGGTGTTTTCAGCATAAAAACTTTTCTTTGAGATAGTGAAGAACCACATCGTGTTTTGGAATAAATTGTCCCTGGACAGTGTGATCACCTGCTCTTATAGTCTTGTTTGCTTTATTTGTGTTACACGTTTACTGTCTCTCTCCACCCTGTCCCCCGCAGCATGTACACTTCATGAGGCAACTATTTCTGGTGCCTCCCAGGACTTGTCACATAGAAAGAGCTCAGAAAACATTTGCCAAGGGAAGGAACTGAATCACAGGAAAGGCATATGTCAGTCTGCTCTGTTTCGCGCTTAGCATTGCTCTAGCTACGGTGTAGTTGGAATTTCTTTAAGCACATCTTTCTAACACAAAACAATATAAACTCAACCCTCCGGAAAGATACTCTAGGATAGTCCTTCTTATAGGGTTTTAATCATCCCGTCGGCTCAGACAATGTAAACACAGTTAGGGAGCCAGCCTCTGAAACGTTCAGGCTCTGAAGCTCTTCATGTGTGTCTACCAACACCCTTGAGCTTCGTGCCGTTACAGATCATGGCAAACACAACAGCCATCTCTCAGACCCTGAAATGGTGTTACAAGTGAATTTCCAGGAAGAATTCCAACTTGTTAAACCATCATACTCACCCATCCAGGTTTTCAGAGTCAGTTTTCACATCAGAGTTACCTTCCTTAGGAATTCAACTTCAGATAAACAATTTCCAAATGTCCCTGAACTAGGAACTCATTTGAAATTTGCCAATACGGCCACCATTTGGCCCCCAAGAATCACATCTCTCTCTCTCTTGGGCCAGGTAGGAGGGTAACATACCTGTAAGGCAGCTAGGAGGATGCCACAAGCAATGGAAACACTGATCTCATTGTAGTAATGGACCTTTTTTTGGTTATTTGCAGCAAAACCATAGACTTGCTTGAAAATGAGAATCAAAACAGGAGCTGTGTCCAAGTACTCTTTAATCCAATTGGTTCTGAAGGGGAGAAAAAGATATTCTGGAGAATATTTGCTTTTAAGAATTTTTGTTCTCTTTTTACTATCTTAGCTTATTTATGTTAAAAATAAAACATATTCACTTGTCTTTTATGTTTAAATTGAAAAGGGGCAGCATTTTCGTTCATGTCATATTCATCTTTTTCTATCCAAGTTTGATAAATAGGTATTGATAAGGGCCTAGTATGGCAAGGCACTGGAAATTCTGAAAAATGCAAAGATGGAATAAGTCTAATTTAGCAAAATAAAACTCAGTAACAGCTATTAAAGGAACATAAGCCAAATGCACCAGGAGCCCCCAAAACAGAATGTTAATTTTGAATAGAGGATTAGAAGAAGATTTCCAATGTTTTCCTTGAAGCAGGCTACTGAAGACCAAGGGGAGGAAGAGGCCCTGGGGTGGGCTTCCTAGTGAGATGAGTAAAGGTGGAGCCAGGACAGAGAAGGCTTGGCAGAGCGAGAAGTTTCCAGAAGCCTGATAGGCTGGAGGATGCGGCAAGTAGTAGGGCACAGTGGATTGGCAGGTTACATACAGGTTTTGCAGGGGCCTGGACTTCATTTGATAAGTGATGGAGAATGATCACGAGCTTCTGAGAAGCATCCCATGATCAGATCCATTTCAGGAAGGGGCAGATTGGTGCAGGCAAGGGACCAGCCCAAGCGGGGACCAGACAGGAAACGATGGCAATAGTCCAGGAGAACTTGGGGGAATTGTGGAGGCTGAAGCTGACAGATCTGGTCTAGGAGTGTGCAAAAGAGAAGAAAAAGTTAATGGTGAAGTTTAATCTCAATTACATGTAGGCAGATAGTAATACCATTTGCTCAGTCTTGGAGAAAAAGAAAGGAACTTTTGCGTGAGTGGGAAATAATTCATGTGAGTTATAAATGTTGAGTTTAAATTTTTGCTTTCCAGCTAAGAGCATATCTTTCTCTATTCTATTATCTATCCCATACCTTTCAGCAAAAGCGTCATTCTAACACAGATATACCAAAAAAAAAAAAGATGCTCATGTAATGCTATATATTGTAATTTTCTCTTAGGATATATTGTCATTAAGTAGCAAAACATCATTCATTTCTAGCCTTATTACGGTTCACTGTTTTTAAAACATACTAAACTCACGTGTGTGTTTTCCTATGATTCTTCTTCCACTATTAACTTTTACAGGTTGCATTTTCAAAGTTTCTTTACCACATTGCAACATGCTTAAGTACATTCAACAGTTATCAATTCTTTTCTCCTAAAGAGGGAGCATGTCAATGGTTTAGAAGATAAATTCTTGAGTCAACTAGCCGTGCTATGTTGGGAAAGCTACTTAACTTCTCACAGTTCAGTTTCCTCATGGGTGAACGTACATATGGTATTGTACACTCACTTCAAACAGTTATTGTAAGGGTGAAATCAATCAAAATAGATAAAGTACTTAGAATAGTATCTAGTACATAGTGCCATGTATGTTAGCTAGTATTTTTACTACTAATATTGTTTTACAATGAATAATTAAATTTTTTAAATACAGATGAAGATTAAGCAATTTACCTAGTTTAAGGGTAAGTTATAATTTTTAACAATTTTTGGACTTATTTATTTTGCCTAGGCATACATTGATATCCAATATTTTGGGTTTGTTCTATCTTGCAAGAATTTATTATGACATTATAGTAGAGCTAATAAAGACAGCAACTCACAGGCCTATTAAGAAAAGGGCAAGTAGCATCTTCTGCCTGGGATGAAGGACTCCCTCCAGAGAGCAGGAAAATAGGTTTGGCATACAGGTTGGGTCTAGCTTGTATACCAAGCCTTTAATGACAGCGATAGGTTTCATAATTGACTCAAACAGGATGTCAGGACATATGTTCATTTGCAATTCAATTTACCAAGCATTTATTCATTAACCTACTATGTATCAGCACAATGCTAGATGACATAACGTAAAATTTTCTTAAACGAGAGAGAGCTCCCTCAACCGCTAGAGTTTTTATGTATATGTGTGTGTGTGTACATACTGTTTGTGGAGAAAGCCTATAACTTTAATTGGATTCTCAAGAATGCCTTGATATACAACAAAGATCTCTAAAATATGGCCTATCAAATGAGAACAAACTAAACAAATGATTAACATATTATGGGGTCATGGCTGTCTGAGATGCATGGAAGGTGAGCACGCAGATGAGAGGGCAACTAATTTTGCCTTCGTTGGGAAAACTGATGACATTTTGTGGACACTGGGCACATCCAGAGCACAGGATCTCTCTAAGAGTAGAAATCAACTTGACTTTTACCCATCCCATTTTTTTTTATGAATATGCAATAAAATGTTTATATCTGTTATTAATATCCTGCACTTGTTCCAGAACATGGTAATTAGTTACAACTCCATAAAACGTCAATTTTGATGAGGAGGATGAAGAGTATAAAGGGCATCAGATAAACAGTGATGGAAGGAAACTAGACTTTGGGCAGTGAGCACACAATAGAGTATGCAGATGTCATAAAGTCGTACACCTGAAATTTATGTAATGTTATTAATCAATGTTACCCTAATACATTTCATTTAAAATTTTTTTAAAAGATAAGATTTTTAAATCTTAGGAAAAAATTGCTCTCCGGGGCCAAATAAATAAGACAGGAGCAGAGCCAAGAGGTTCACTTCACATCGCCCCAGCCGTAGCTACTTGAGGAGAAGTCCCAGGTTAGCCCAAGACTGTCATTCTTTTTTTAGGTTTGTATCGCAGTGAATAGAAACAAAAAGGTAGAGTAAGGGAGAATTTTCCCTCCATGTCTGCCTTTAAGCTGGGACATGAGTCTTCTGCCTTCGGACTCAAAGTAGAATTATAACTCACACCATTGACTGTCCTGCTTCTCAGGCATTCGGTGTTGGACTGAAATTATGCCAGCGGCTCTCCTGGGGCTCCAGCTTGCCCCCTGCAGATCTTGGAACGTCTCAGCCTCCTTAATCGCATGATTCAATTATTTATAATAAATCTTTCTCTCTGTCTCTCTGTCTGTCTCTCTCTCCATTCATTTTGTTTCTCTGGAGAACTCAGACTAGTATGCTTAGAAAGAGTGAATAAATGCCCAAGGTCTTGCAATTGAAAAACCAGAGCTAGGATTTGAACACAGACCTGATCCTAGCCAGCATTCCCAACCATTCCACGATACATGCGCTCAAGGCAATACAGTGGCTAGTCCTGCGTTAACTTCCATAATTGCTTCTAGAGGTAGAATCAAACTTTTAAAAAAACAAAACCAGAAAACTAAAGTCATAGTTATTTCATTCTAAGAAGCCAAACTAGACATCCCTAAATTCTACAACTTTTGTACCTCAGTTTCTTCAGGTCTGTAACCCATTGGCGTCCCATCCTTTTCGAATAGTTTATTTCCTCCTCCTCCTCAATGATCTCCCGAATCCTATGCTTTATGTCTGGGTCCTTCACAACCACAAAGGTCCAGGGCTCTGTGTGTGCCCCACTTGGGGCTGTTCCTGTTACCATTAAATTAAAATCAGAAATTAAAACTGCAGGAAAATGTGAGACTGTTATTTAAGAATAAATATAATACTTGCTCAAAATACAGTTAGATCTTCTGGCAAACGAAAAGCTTGGTGGTAGATGCTGGCTGTCGCCGCCAACTCCATTTCATTCCCCGTCACTTTAGGAGTCTCCACACTGATGGCCTGAGATCAAGGTCAGCAGTTCTACAGCTGTGGGAATTTATCGCTGTTCTCTCATTATACGGGATAAAATGTCCTTAAGGAACTGTACCACGACCTCCGAGAGAATTCGGAGGGCAAGTTCTAACAGCCCAGCTTCTCAAAAATGTCATTTGTTTCAATGTTTTTGAAAAAGGATAAAGTCATCAAGTTGATTGGAAATGGTAAAATAGTTTTAGAAACACTCTTCGAAAGGCAACTAAACTATAAACTGTTTAGCACTGATATCAAGCTCTGAAGTGTGGCATTGTGGGGTTTCTGGTCTTTGCTCCAGGCACTCAGTACACACAACAGAGTGTCTTCAAACTCGCCCAGACTTCAGGAACACCAGTCTACACTTCGACCAGCCCCAGTGTCCTGGACAAACCCTCACAGTGCATCACAGTGCCCAAGAAGCTTAAATTAGCTTTAAGATTCCAGCCAGGGCCTGGGCTAGCTTCTGATCTGGATGTCATCCCTCTGTCCTAGAGATGGGCCATTGTTCCTAGGAATAGACCACAATGACCCTCTGGTGGAATATTTCAGAAGCAACAATTTTTTTCTTCCTAGTGAGTAATTTAATGGCTTAAACTCTACATGAGGAGGGTCAGGCTGGCCAGCCTTCATGGGGTTCTTGTTTGCTCTCACCACTAGTCATGATAGAGAGGACTGAATGAATTGTGAAATGCTTTAGCAAGTCAAAAGCTAAACATAAAGCCCATACATTCCTGATCAGAGTGATTCCAGTTCACTTTGTACCTTTGTTGTTTGTCCACTAAATATTTTTGTCATTAACATAAGAAATAAATTGTTCCCTAATGTTTTCAATTATTCTAAATTTGTCTGAATGTCATATGTACACATATACATATATACATATATATACACAGAAGAAATTTAATAACTTCAATTAGTTAGACAATAATGCATTTGTATTCTTAACTGAAATAAAATGTTTTATTATTGCTTCATTTTAATTTGGGCAATGGATTTACAATGGTCAAGCAATAATTTCTGTAAATGAACTTAAATGTGATTTATACAAGAATAAGACCCTAAGCAAGAGATTCTCAAATAGGGGCTTTCTCTTATATTTCCTGCCCCCTTTTCATAATTCTCATTTTTTCCTCTGTGGAGATATTAATTTACACTGAAAATGGGTTTTCTTCAATTTGGTTTACTTTGCAAATTCACATGAGTAAATCTGGTAGTTCATTAGAATATAGTATGAGAGTATTATGTTATATAATATAAGAAATTTGGTTCCAAAAAGAGAAATGTGTAAATGAAGTGAGAATGAGAGAGAGAGAGAGAATATTTTAAGAAGAGGATGTTTCTCTTTTAGTGTATAAGAGTTCTCAGTAATTTTTTAAGAATATTTAAGTTCTCTTAATTTTTTAAGAATATTTTAAGAAGAAGATGTTTCTCTTTTAGTGTATAAGAGTTCTCAGCAATTTTTGTTTTTAATAAAAGTTCATAATGTTGAGTAATTTCAGGAATTTTAAGCCGTTGTCACATCTGCTCCCAAGAAGTTTATAATAGTCAAAACTTTGTAGAAAGTGGAATGGTTATGTTTCTAGAAGTCAGTCAACACCTGGGTAAGACTTTATAGGTAAGCTTATCATTCTAGGCTTCATTCGCTGTGTTTGAATTTCAACATTGCTCCAATATTATCACAGCAGTTAATATTCTCAAAAGCCTAATTTGCAATTACAGACCTGCTGTTTTGATGACATTACGAATTACTTCCATGGGGACCTGCTCATTACTTATAAATCTCACAGACCGTCTTTTATTGAGAAGTTCATAAAATTCCTTGGATCTCTTAATCATTTCCTTCTCAGGATACCGAGTGTGGGAGAACGGGACATGTTCAACACTTATCTCTGACTCTTGCCATGCATCAGCATCTGCAAATAAGAACAAAAAAAGTGGCAAACTAAATGGTCTCTCTTGGGCCCCCATCCTCTACTGAAGTGCCCACTTGATTTTCTTCCAAGTGTACTTTACTCTGCCTTTACTTAATAAAATCACTTCTGTTTGCTAAAAAAATAAGAAGAAGAAGAAGTAAGTAAGTAAGTAATAAGTAAGTAAGTAAGTAAGTAAGTAAATAAATAAATAAATAAATACATACATACATACATACATACATACATACATAAATAAATGGTCTCTCTTGGCCATGAGGTGAGGTGGCCACTGGGGAAAAGGAGATAAAGTTCTCAAAAATGTTTGTAATGAGCTCAAAAACATCAACAAAAAATGAGAATAGATCTACGGAATCTTGACCTCTGATCTTGACAATCCTTCAAACTCCAGACTGATTATAAATTAAGAAAAAAATTTACCTACACAAAGATGAGGAATGCAAATTTTTGTTCATGGTAAACTAGCTTATTTGAAACACTCTCTCATCAGCTTAAAACCATTAAGATCACTTTAAAAAATTTTTTTAAGTCTTTTAAAAATCATTGTGTTGCTGACAACATAGTAAGAAATTCTTAAGCCAAAACTAAAGGGAAAATATAAACCTGCAGAGGTAAATAAACACAGAAGCTGCATTTTCCCTGATTGTATTTGCTAATTTCTACACATTTACATTTTCATTTTTATATTTTTCAGGAATCAAGAAGGATAGGAATCAAAGCCTAGGCCCATACACAATGGGGAGTCTAATAAGCTGGGACCTCAAGACTACATTCTTAGAGAAAGAATGAATCATAAATGAATCAGGCCCTAAAGAGCTATACTATTTTGGTGGTTCCTGCCTCAAACTTAAATATGGTCGTCCTACCTGAAAATATTCCTGTTGCCCAGCAGAAGCAATTGCCAATATACTAAAAATCTTAAATATAATTACCAGCGACCCGCAAAATATAGTCAGGTATACAAAGACACGAAACAGCCTGAGCAAGAAACAGCAGAATCAATTTTTAAAAATAGAGTCAAATGTCCAAAGTTTCCGAATGTTGGAATTAGCGGCCTCAAAAGATGAAATAACTATGATCACTAGATATAGAGAAAAAAGAGGACAAATTTATATAAATATGTAGGGTATAGAAAAGATAAAAAATGACATGGGAAATATGAAAAAATAGAACTTTTTGAACGGAAAAATAAAATAATAGCATTAAAAATGTAATAGATAGGTTTAGTAGCAGGTTAGACATACCTAAAGAAAGAGCTATGAACTGGAAGGTAACTCAGAAGAAAATATTTAGAATGGAGCAAGAGACCGAAGATGGAAAACATAAAAGCAAGAAAAAATAGAGTAGAATGAGAATGGCTAATATACATCTGATGATAGTAATGACAGGAGTGAAGAAAGAAGGTGTGACAGAGGCAATATTTGAAGCGATAATATCTGAAATTTTCCCAGAACTGATCAAAAATACCATCTCTACATATTCAAGAGGCCAATTTCAAGCAGTATAAGAAAAAGAAATCCGCACCTTTTATAAACAAATATAAAATATTAAAAGCAGCCAGAGAAAAAATATTACCTTAGAACAAACAACAGGAAGAAATATTGAAATCCTAGCAGCAACAAGAATAATTGCATTGAATATAAGTGGATTAAATGCTCCTCATACAGGCCAATGATTTAAATTTTTAAATCTTAATATATTTTTTTATTAAAGTATAGTTGACACACAATATTGTATGAGTTTCAGATGTACGACATAGTTATTCCGAGGAATTGTACAAAATGAGAGACTCTTACAGACAGAATGGAGCAGGGACCAAAAAGTTATACTAAGCCAAGAAGCAGCTTAATTATTTCAAGTTCTCGTTCCCTTAGAGAATGGCAGGGGCCTGTTAGGCAGATGACCTCACTAGTGCTGATCAGATGATTTCCGACTGGCTGGTTTAAGATTCCATTTCTGAGAGACCCGAAATTGTAATTAAGTTTGGTGATGTGGGGCTTGGCATAAATGACTTCGTTTTGTGCCTGTTATTTGTTTTTAACGCATCTAACACATAAGAAGATAGAAAGGTTGAAAGTAAAAAGCTAGAAAAATTATACATGCATCTCATAAGTATATCAATATCAGATAAAAGCGAAATTATGGCTAAAGGCATTAGTTAGGCTAAAAGAAGAAAACTATTATAATATTAAATTATAAACGATAAAATAATTCCAGGTGGAATTCAAGTAGAGGATTAACTTTCTCCCCCACTCTTCACTCCTAGGTATCTGAGGATGGAGAGAAGGAAGGCAGGAGAGAACATTCGTGAAAGAGGAACTAACTTCAAAGGGACTGAGAACCCAACTACAACACCAGCAGGTACCGTGATTTGCTCATAGCGCTCAGCGAAAAACTCCTTTTTACGCTTTTCTAGCGGGGGCAGTTTGGGCCCAGACTATACACATTTAAGGAGAAGTCCCAGTTACTAAGTTGAAAGGAAGTAGGTATGATGGAGGGGTGGCAATAAACACCTATCAGCTTTCTAGTACTGGATACCGAATTAAATATTATCAAATATGTCAAAAAAGACTTTCAACACCAACCATACTTCCTACACCGTTTGCTATGAAGTCTGACAACCTCTGTAGTCAGTAAGTGGTAAATGAGCAAATGCATGAAATGCTTACTTAACTGTTTGAAACATAAGTTACCTACTCTTAAGATCCACTCAGCCAGCATTTGTCTAAACTAAAGGCCGGCCAGGTGCATGACTTGGCAATTTCTGCAACTTCTAAAGTCCAGGGCAGCCACTCGCTCCTTCTCTAGAGGAATGAAGCAGCTGCTGGCTGAGCCTTATCAGCCGGGCCGTTATCTCTGAGCAAGGCAGACAAACGGTCTAATCACTGCTGAGTTGGATCATCCTGCAGGGCTCTCTGAGCAGTGCAAAAGGTCTACCTCCGGCCTGGGGAAAGAGACAGGCCAAGCCTTCCTTGGAGAGAAAGCACTGAAGGACCCTCAGGGCAGTGAACCAATACAAACACAATACTGAAGGCAACACTTCTATCCCCTTGACCTCCTGACTGCCCCAAGGAATGTGGCCCTTGCCAAGAGGAAGGAGAACAGCCTCTATAAACTCTGTGTAGCAGTCCTTGTTCCATTCTAGACCAGCCAAATCACTCTGGGGGATTTATTCAAGCCGTGACGTCCACGTATTGCTCAACAAATGCCCGCTATTGTGGTCTGCTTCTTAATATGCGTCCTGTGCTGCCACACGTGGGGGTTGCTATTGACACCAAGCGCGACTCGTCTTTTTTCCTTGCTTTCATGCCAAGGAACACCACGTTGCTCCATAATTAGGTTTAATGGGCAAGTAATTCTAGGTCACAGTCTCTTCTTTAATGTTTCGCCGAGAGGTATTTTTGGCTGCATAAGCGGCTTTTGTGTCTCGCAGTTCTACTTCAAAATCTTTGCCAATGGGCCAAATAGTTTCCAGCTATGAAACTCCAAGGCTGATCGGTGTCGTGTCATTTTTATTCCCCTCCCTGCAATATTTTGGGAGGCTCGAGGAGCAATGTTTAAGAAATCCCAGGGAGACAACGGCTCTTGCGGGAGACAGATTCCGAAGGTGGCGATGGGATCAAATTCAGGACTCAACGCCTGCCCCGAGAACACCTCTTTCCCAACTTCCCCGGCCATCACTCTGCTTCCCACGTGGCCTCTCAGTCCTTCTCCTTCCAAGCTGCAGTCTAGAGTGACCGCTTCACTGGCAGCCGCTGCGGCGGATGCACCAACCAGAAAGTCAAAAGCTCAAAGACTCCATCCAAGTCCTCTCTCTTTCTTAATCTTCCCTCATCTGAATTTACCTGTCCATTATCCTAAAACCTAAGGTCTACAGGATCCTTGGTCAACCAACCTTTTAAATCAGCCACATGAAAGTTTTCAAGGGTGCGTGCGTGTCAAAGGTAAATGATAAAATGCAGATATGAAGCTGAACGTATTGCTTCCTATAGCAAAGGAGAGCTATGCTGGTCAAGCTCCACCTCTGTGAGCAGAGTAGAATGCTGCTGACCTTATTTTTGTCAATGGCGTGCCGGTAAATCAGCTCTCTGAGGGGAAGAGAACAGCCCTGGCTTATAGCACTTGCCAGTCTCCATGGCGTAAACACTCCGTCATCGCCTGACTTCAAGCTACTGACGATTGAATAAGCGTCCCACAAATTTCTTGAATATTTAACAATTGGTTCTGGCTATCCCCTAGGGCAGCTCCAGCACATTACTTGGTTGGGAAGCACGGAGTTCAGGGATTGGTGGACCTCCGGGTCTGTAAAAAGGCTGACTTCCTCTGTAGGAATGGTGTTACTTAGTTGAGATTGTCGATTGATTGGCGTTCAGAGAGGCTGGTAGCGGAGTGAGACCATCCACAAATGGCTGGTTTTCGGAAGAAAGAGGCTGCCACTGATCAAGTTGCTAAGCTTTTACTGAGATGAATTGTCATTGATCCATTGAGCAGGTTCGAAACCTGTTCTGATAGCCACTTGTTACCACGGGTACACAAAAATCTGTTAGTTCCCAAGGCTGTGGGAACATTTTTATTCTCAGGAGTTACCCACACTAGATAAAAATTTTAACACAGGCTTTACTTAGCAGTGACTGGACAACCTGGGATAATCAAAATTTTAGTTGCGAAGCTCAGCGAAGCTCAGTGAAGAAAAACCCCCACCACCGTTAAAATGGACGTGTCTTATGAGATGGATTCCTTAGATCTTTTTCTCCTATTTTCGTTTCCACGAGCTTCCAAGAACCTGTGCCTGACTAGAGAATTTTTGCGCAGGATGTTTGGTTCATATGAGGGGAGCAATCTCAAGTTTTTACTTTGAGATAAATGTCTGTAACTTCTCCTCCTTCGACCTCTGCTACAGAAAAACAGGGAACTGAAAGCACTAACAGGACACGGTGCATGACTGGTCCCTGAAGGGTGTCTGTGTCTGACATCAAATAAGCAGGGCCTCACTCGGCCCCTACTAATACCCCACCCACCTGCCCACACACGTGCTGATTCCTTCCTCTACGAACGTGAAATAGGAATTCTTTGTAAATCAGAGCTGGAGAAGGTTGGACTGGTGCCCATATTTCCCTTAACTCACCCAAGAAAGACCTACAATTCTTGTTTTACTGATTTGTCTCTTACTGTTAATTTTCAAAGTCGTGTGGATCTGGTATCCATTTGCTGTCATCAAAACTATCTCCATGTTTCTTCGGTACTGGAATGCCTTGCCTTCTCCAGTTATACCCCGCTCAGAACAAGCGGTGGGTCCTCTTTGAGGCCGTGTCTACCCATCCAGTGGTTAGGATCTGGGACTGGGTAGCAGAAGAGACTGAGTTTAAACGTTGGTTTTCTCTACCACCTGTGTGACCTCAATAGGTATTGCTTATATAAACAACAAAAATTTCAGCAAGAGACCGCGAACTCCACATTCAGGCCAGATTTGTCCATAGCTGCTGAGGGGTCCACTATGTGTCAGATTCATTCCTCTGAGCGAGGACTAGAGAATGAAAAGGTAGAGGATTTGGGAAAGTGAATAATCAGCCATAGAACCAAAACAGGGCCATATAGCTCTGCTCTGTGTCTCCAACCTCCAGGCCCAACCCCAGGTCTCTGACTCCCCACCAACCTTATCAATCCCTCTTGTATCCCCCAAACTCTTGGGCCTTCAAATCTAGTGGCCTTTCCTCAATACACACCACCTTTCAGTTCTTAGGTAATTTTTAACCCTGCTGGCCGTCTCCTGCATCCTCTGTTCCAAGCCATTCTCTAGTTGGAAAGCAGCCTAGCAAACTGGCTATATGCCTGGACTCTGGAACCAGACTGTCTGGGTCCTGACTCCTTTTTCTTTATCTTCTTGTCTGCAGGTGCACCCCACCCCCAAGTTGTATCCTCAGTCTTCTTCTAGCAATATCCCTTGAGCGAATGCATTGGTTTTCCAAGTTCCAAGTCCCACCCCTATGCTGGTGACTCTCCAATCAGTAACTGCAGCCTGGATCCCTTCTCTCCTTGTCTGCTTCAACACATCACTGTCTTCTCAAATCTCACACATCCTAGACTACCCTCATCTTCCCCTTTAAACTGGACCCTCTTCCCTCACCTATCTATGATAATGTCCTTCTGACTTGTCCAGCCCCCAAATCTCACCCTCCTCTTCTCCCCATATCCAATTTATTACCAAATCCTCTTGTTCTTCCTTTAACTTCACCCCGATTCACTCCTTCCTCTGCATCCCCACCACCTCCACCATCCAGGCCATCTTTACCAGAACAAACCTTTACCCACCTTCCTAATGGACACCCCTTTGGTCAAGGGCAGTGCTTCTCAACTGGGCGTAACTGGCATTCAAGTAGAATTTCCTTCACCGTGTCAGAGTAAGATGTAGCCCTGCTAAGAAGCTGCCCGGGCTTGGACCTTCTGTGGGACACTCAGCATCACTGGCTCCCAGCACTGATAGCCAGCTAGGTATGCCCCACCCCAGATCCTGAGATTAGGACAACTCAGGACACACACGAGCACACCCATGCACACACAAGCACACACATATACACACTGACACATGCACACACCTCCAGATGGCCTCTGTTGGCAGGCAAGGGCATCACTAGCCCAGCTGAGAATCACTGAGCCTCTTCCAAATCGAATCCATCTCACAAACCCACATCAGATAAACCTCAAACTCAGATTACCCAAGGTTCTTCAAGAACCTCTTCCTTCCTGCCCACCTCCCTCCTCACTTCTTCTTTCTCAGGTCAGCCATGACCTGGCCCGCCTTCTCTACCCCATTTCATTTTACTCCTTTTCCTGATCAGCTCAAGACTTCACCTTCGCAGCGTCTTTCCCAGGGGTTTGGTCCCTGTACTTATGCTCTTTCTGCTCCTCATCCCTGAGATGTCACCTAACCCTTGCTATTCATGTCCTATCAATTCACCAAGCCTGGTTTTCCTAACTGCCCCACCACACCCCCAAGCCTACTTGAAACACTTTATAATCAGTTCCACCTAGTTCCTCTCTGTTACTCTCTAATTGTTGTCTGTTTATTGCTTTGTCTTTTGAAATGGACACTCAGTTTCAACAGCTTTTTATTGAGTATCCAAGAACGAAGGGGAGTTGGTGCCGGCAGTTTACAAGCTGACCACCCGAGAGAAATGATCTGTCCCTGTCACATACTAATTTGTCTGTACAGTAGGCGTTGATGAGGAAACTGACCAGTATCTGTTTCTTCCCCTCCATAAGCCCTGCCGTCAGCTCTCATGCATCGTAAAAATGCAAAAGTTGGAAACCAGACAGCATTGCCCGTGTCTTTACCTTCTTCCACTTGGTGGAGGCCAGTGCTGTCCTTTAAGTTGTCATGCACACAGGGTCGAGCCTCCGCCTGGGCTCTGGGCTCCTCTTTTCTTCTCTTGATGCCTCTAGCAACATTTTTAAAGATCCATACGATCAAAATGCAGACAATTGCTACCAAGACTGGAATCAGGGAAAACATGGTCAAGAGAAGGACCCTGAATGGTGTACACACTTCCCACTCACCGGTATTTAAACAAACGGAACTGAAATGGGTAAGGCCAGGACGTGGAGTGCAGGGAGAGAGAGGCACGTCGGGGAGGGAACAAAGTAAACTCTGACTCTGTGAGGACTTTGCCAGGGAGCAAAGATCATAGCCGTGTGCATTCGGGGTGTGTTGTGAGTTTGGTAGCGCACAGGTGCATTCACTTGTCAAAATTGTGTATTTAATCAGTATTTTCTTAGACAATAATTGCCAGGATCTGAGTAAGTACTTTGATGTACTAGATCTTGTAGCAGTGGGATAGTATAGTTTCTCTGAGAGTAACAATGTGTCTTCAACTTGCCCAAGGTAGGAAACACCTGGGGAACTTGTTTACAAAAGAATATATTTCCAGACACCAATTCATAACTATTGCAAGAGAATTTCCAGGAAAGAGGCCTGATAATCGGCTTTTTAAAACAGCATGTTTGTGAAACACTGCACTGAGGTTTTAGTGTTTTTAAAAAATGAAGCCTGAGCCAACTTTACATAGAGTGAAGAAGTTATGTTTTGCATTGGAGAAAAATTTTGATCCACGAAAAGTGATTCAAAAAGAAATTAAAATGACAGCTTGATTAATTATGTAATAACTTAAATAGAGCTATTTTTTAAATGTCTTAGTTTGGGCTGCTTTAACAGAAATACCATTGACTAGATGGCTTGAATAACAGAAACTTATTTATTGTAGTTCTGGAGGCTGGGAAGTCCAAGATTAAGATGCAGGCTGGTTTTGTTCCTCTGATTCGCAGATAGATGCCTTCTCATTGTGTCACATGGCAGGGGAAGAGATCGCCCCTCTCCTGTGTCTTCTTCTAAGGGCACCAGTCTCACTCACAAGGGCTCCACCCACATGACCTAATCAGCTCCCAAAGGCCCACCTCCAAACACCATCACAGTGGGGTTTGGGCTTCAACATATTAATTTGGGGAAACCGAAACATCTAGTCCATGGCAGTAAGGTACCAAATTGTGCATGATATGACACCATTTTGAGCAAAACAGAGTGGAAAATACTCTATATTTGTATCTGATTATATATTTAGAACATTGCCTGAAACACCATAGCATAAATTTACAACAGTGGTTACATTGGGAGTTCTGTCGGTTTTGCAATTTCTTGTGGATCTGTATTTATTTTTAAGTAAAAAGTTTAAAAACAACAGTGGTTACTAGTTTTGGAGGGGGTATGGTAATTGGATAGATATGGGACAAGGGTGGGAGACAGAATTTTTACTATTCTATGATTTAAAAAATGTTAACTATTATGAATATATTATTGCCTATTCAAAAATTAAATAAATGTTATTTATTTTAATAAGCCCTTTTTCTGTTTTCTGTTTTATTTTATTATATATTTTAATCTTCCTTTGTATGATAGACAACTATTTTTTTAACGTGCGATGTACCGGTTCTAACTTCAGAGAATTGTGTAAGATCGTAGGCAAAGTTTATTACGAAAAAACTGGACTCCATAGGAGACACTGTCATTGTGGCGGCATTGTCCGCCATGCCTACGGCTCTTCTATAGGAAGTACCCCTACGATTCCTCGAAAGAACATCAGAGGTGCCACGTCTGGTTCCATTTGATCCAACCTTATACCTGACCCAAGGCAACCAGACCGTGTGGCCAGCTCATCGTGTCTTTCCACTAAAAGTACAGAATAAATAAGCCACTTAGTAACAAGAGAGGCGAGAGCTGGAAAGAAGCAACATGATACAGACTATACGGAAGGACAGAGTGAACAGCCACTGGCTGCAAAGACCGCCGTCTCTGGCAGGTCCCAGGTCTGGCTCAATTTCCACCCACGTGACTCCTTACCCTCAAAGTATCAGAGTGATCCTCTGTTCCTGTCATCACAGAATCCAACTCATGTCAGTGCCAGGAACGAGATTAAACCTGGAAGAAATGTGGGCATAATTGGCGATGGCACACAGGATGGAGTAGCTCGTTGGCTAATCGAGGTGTTGCTTGAATCTCCTGGATTTCAGGCCGTATGCCCAGCAAAACAAGTCTTTAGGAGAATTCTGAAACCATCAAAAAGGATAAGAAATATCAGGACAATTGTGCTAAATGGATGCTTTTCGTCATATGTGGCAACTTACCGTGGGAAAAGAGGTGACTCTTATTTTGTATGGTTTGGCTCAAGACAGAGAAAGAAAAGTGACCCCTCATTCATTCATTCACTCATTCGTCAACATATATTTCTTATCATCATTGTGAAAGGCATTGCATTAGGTGCTAAAAATAAAATGGTGGGCGGCAGACAACACATGCCCTAGCAGTCTGACAAATTAACGTCACATTTCAACTTCCATAAGGACTGGTAGGGAGCGGAACAGAGCATGGTTTGGCCTAGTTGGTAAGATCAGAGCTTTCCCAGAAGAAGGAGCCGAGGTTGGAACGATGAATAGGAGTTAATGAAGTAGGGAGAGGAGAAAAAAACCTTCCAGGCAAAATGGAAAGTGTGGGCAAGGTCTGTGCTTTGACAGAAATGGCACCTGTGGGGAACTGGAATGGGGAAGGAAGCAAGGGATGCAGGAAGCCAGATGATGCCAAGAGATGAGTAAGCACTACATGATATGGGTGTCTGTACGACATGTAAATAAATCGTTCTCTTTACTCTACGTGGAACGTGGAGTGGAAGTGGCAGGTCAGTAATAGCTGACACTTACCAAGTGCTTACCATGTGGTACCAGCTTCTCTTCTTAGCATTTGATACATATTAACTCATATATGCCTCAAAACAACCCATTATTACCTCCATTTTACAAATGAAGAAAATGAAGCACACAGAGATGAAATAATAAGCCAGGTGTTATGTAAGCGGGCCAGAAATAACTCTCGTGTATTAGCCTAAAAAGGCCTATGTCGTTTACTTCATAGCCAGCTGAGACTCTTAGCCTAAAACCCACTGGAACCAAACTGGGGAGTGGAAGGTGGGATGCTATGGACCAAATGTTTGTGTCCCCACCAAAATTTATATGTTGAAAGCCGGATTCCAATGTGATGGTATTTGGAGATGGAGGTTTTAGGAGGTAATTAAGACACAACAACGGAGCCCTCACAAATGGGATTAACGCTCTTAAAAGAGACACCTGAAAGCTAGCTAGTTCTCTCCCAGCCCTGTGAGAACGTAGCCCCAACGCAGCTGCCTGTGAACCAGAAATCAGGCTTTCGCCAGACACCAAATCTACCAGTGCCTTGATGTTAAACCTCCCAACCTCCAGAGCTGTGAAAAATAAATGTTTTTTTAAAGCCACCCAATCGGTGGTATTTTTGTTATAGAAGCCTGAGCTGACTAAATCATAATTTCCCATGGCTCATGCTTAGCTTAGAAGGAATACAAAAACGGGATTTAAAAATCTGTACAGCACAGAGGAAAAGAACTTCGAAGTTATGATCAGGTAAAGGGCGAGAGGAGAAAACCATGACAGGAGCCGAAGCAGTTCGTGGTGATGCCCGAAGGGGAGATGCTCAGCCCCTAAGCTATGGTACCCGAGCCACCTCTATCCCAAAGCACCTGGCCGTGCTGGTCTCAGTGAAGCAGAGCCTTCCCAGGACTCTTGTTCTTAGATTTCTATGAGACCATCTCCTTCTGCTCCATGTGACACTCGCCTGAGCCTAACCGAATGGGTCTTCACAGTTCTTCACAGACCAACATTATCTCCACGGCCAGGCCTCCCACTCCTAATAAAGCCAAGAGAGTAAAATCCTTTATAGTCATCACCAAGCATTACCAAAAAGCTCTTGATAATATCATGGTTTCACATCAGTTTTACTCCTGAAACAGAACTTGTGATGTGGGGACAGAGAGATGCCATATGGCTGAATATTGGCCCAAATACACCCCTCTACTCAGTAGTTCTAAAGCATCCTGGGGTCTGGGGTCGTCGGCCCAACACAATCTGAAGTTAGAAGGTGGAACGGGTAGATGCCGTGGAAGATGGTAGGAGATACTTTTACATTATTTATCATTATAATTTATTTGTTACTCATTTCAGATTCATTGGCTGTTTTCGTCATTTCATTCCCACTGCTGGTAGAAAACTAATGTTGCTATCGAGACAATACCACCTCTTCCGTTTCACAGTGGGGACAGTTAGAATTCTCTCTCTTGTCCTTTCCCTGGTCACCCTCAGCGTGTTCCAGTAGCGAAGGAGAGGCTTCTGGGCCTGAATGTGGGCCCCTTCTTGCTGGAGTCCAGCAAAGTGTCCTGTCTGAGGTGACACGCACAGTACAGGTCGACTTCGCAGAAGAGCATCTTCAGCCTCCCTGCTGCCTCTGCATCTTCTGAGCCCAGATCATAGGGCCCTTCGGTTGGCCCAACTCAACCAATCTTCATGCCCTTTTTGAGTGGTTACCGAGCCTCCTGGGATATTCTCCTGTGGATTTGGAGACTGGGGGAAGGATTGACTATCTCAGGCCTCTCATTCACCTTTCGCCTTACATATGTCTATATTATTTGAATTTTGTTTCTACCAGCATGTACAATTTTTTGGTATTTTTTTACTGTAATAAAATATAATAACATAAAATTGACCATTTTAGCCCTAAATATATAGTTCAGTGGCATCAAATACATTCACAGTGTTGTACACTCATCACCACTATTTCCAGAACTGAGCCATCCTCTAAAACAGAAACTCTGTAAGCATTAAGCAATACTTTTCTACTTTCCCCTCCCCCTGCCTGGCTAACCTCTAATCTACTTCTTGTCTGTATGATTCTGACTACTCTAGACACATCGTATTAGTGGAATCAATCATTCAATATTTGTTCTTTTGGTTTTTTAAATTATTTTAATTTTTTTCAATTACAGTTGACATTCAATATTATATTAATTTCAGGTGTAGTGCAGTGGTTAGACATTTATATAACTTATGAAGTGATCACCTTGTTAACTCCAGTATCCATCTGACACCATGCATAATTATTACAAC